TTACAGGACCCTTTAATTAACAGATAAAACCACAATTACACACACAACTGTAGGCACAAAAAGACAAAAGGGGCACGAATTAAGCATTAAACTATACTAGAAATGTCACCCCTTTGGATACAGTAATGAAAAACTAAAAAGTATATGAATTCATTATAATAAACAGAAAAATAATCAGTGATAATTGTCTATTCTAAAGCTGGCCATGCGCTAGTCCTTTTTTTGCTCAGCTCCGTGGTCCGAACAAGAAAAAATGCTTGATTCCCTCCATTCATGTTAAACAACAATGATGGGGAAATCCTACCTGCTGGGCTACTGTATTCTGACAGCCGACCCCATCAGCTGTCAAAACACCTAATCATGTACAAAAATATATATTGAAAAAAAACAGAATTTTTGCTGGCATATGATTGGTTGATTGAAGGTAACACAGCTTCACCTCATTCACTACAGTAAAATTCACTTAGCTACCCTGTTTCCCTGAAAATAAGACCTACCCCGAAATTAAGACCTAGTACCCTTTTTGGGAATTGCTAAACTATAAGACCTACCCTGAAAATAAGACCTAGTTGCGACCTTTCCCAGGGCCGGTGGTGGCATAAGGGGGAACTTGAAGCGCCGCGGGAGAGAATCAGCGGTGCCAGCTAAGCCAGCGCTAGAAGAAGCGAGGCGGCAGCGGAGGGAGCAGAGCCACATAAGCCAATGCTTCCTCTACAGTGGCGGTTCCTGTCACAGGCGGAGTGATACCAAATGCACTCCGCCTGTGAGGAATCCATAGTAAAAGTGCGCTTCGCTCATTCTGGTTACCAAAATGCTCTTGGAAAGGTACAGCATCTCTGATTGCCCTGATCACCCTATTCTTAACTTTGCCATTTTGGATTATTTAATTTGGATTTGCATTAACTTTGGATTGTTGTAGATTAAAAAAAAAAAATAAGACCTACCCCGAAAATAAGACCTAGTGTGCTTTTTTGAGCCAAATAAAATATAAGACAGTGTCTTTTTTTTCGGGGAAACACGGTAAGTGAATGGAGTGAAGCTGTCTTGCCTTCAAACATCTAATTACGTGCATCCTGGTTTTTTTTTAATTTCCTTGCACATGATTGTTTTTTTTTGCAAAGTAAATTTTCACTTAGCTTGACCTCATTCACTAAGTAAAGGGAAAAATTAACTGACATAAACGGGATAAAT